TTATTGTCACGGTGATCGGTGACAGATCATACAGAAAGTAAACAGCTGAACAGAACGGGAAAGTGATTAGCAACTGCTAACAAAAGGTGCAAAACAAGTTGTGGTGTTTACAAAGCCACACATACAACTAACCTGGCCAAGACCTATCGAACTCCTTCATAGGGGAAAAATATTCCGTGACAGAAAATTGGTTTGTTGGCAAAACTTCCTTTGAGATATATCTGTACTCGGTAGGGACAATCTGCAATACAGTGAAGACAACGCTTGGATGAATAGAGATGCGTAGCTATTTTACAGGACCGGAAGCAGTTCTAAAATGAATGGCATAGTTTTAGGAGAGGCAAGCTTTTAGGAATAGCAACCTTTATGTAATACTTGAATGTTCCACTTGTTTCATGCAAGATCCGCACTGTACCATCAAGCGGGTTGTGAAGTCCCGGATATTTTGGCCCGAATGATAAATCATGAATCATATGACTTACATTGACATGTGTTGCTCCTCCAAATATCTGTGAACAAAGAAGAAGAGGCGTCAGCTTAATTTGCAGATAAAGGAAAAGCCATGTCAAAAAGAAACTAAATATGACAATAATCCAGATATCCTCAACACTGCAAGAACCAAGCAACTAATAGAGAAAATATTGTATGTAAACCTCATTCTTGCAACTAAATTTAGAATTTTATACTCTAACCAAAGTTTCAAATCTTAGCCTAAATCCGAAGACCTAGGCTTTCACTTCAAGCTTTGACAGGTCTTGAGATTAGAACAAAGTACTTAAATTTGAAAGAAGATACCAAAATCTCTAATTAAAGTCATTTGCAGCCTTTTTCCTCCTGTACTACTAAAAATTTTATTACGCTAAAACCTATTCAGAATTCGGCATATGAGCATATTCTAATTCACACAAAGCAGTACATTATAAATTGAAGGAATAAAATAAAATAAAATGCCTGCTGAATACCAAAAGCACCTATATTGCCTAAAATATCGATGACAATGGTTTGAAAAAGCTCTAATACTAGAGATCATGGCCTACAGGGGAAATAAATCAAACATTTTGGGGGGTTTGATCGATGTCATGCAAATCACCACAGATCAAACCCCCAAAACAAGAACCTCCCACGTGCATAACTACGCACACAGATGCACTCTAACCAAGACAAAGCTGAACATAGCATAATTTAGGATATGACGTCAAATTAGATTGTTAAGATAAAACTAATCACCATTTGAGCAACATAAATGTTTAACCCATGAACTGAAATGTGAAAGTTTCCAGCCACTCTTTGAACATCTAATACGCCATAAACCTGCACAAAATGTTTACATTTATAGATCAGTTGACTTCATACTCTTTTCATTTTCGACCCATTTGGGGGGCCCAAAAATAAAATCTCATTGATTAGTCCAAAAAGGTTATAAATTTAATACTTAAGGAAACTATATTGGATAAATACCCGGCATCCCTCTCCATTGTCCAATGCACTTTTCACTTTCTTGATCATATTTTCAGCATCTTGATTGAAGCCCAGTGCATGAAGCTTCTTCTCAGCATCATCATCATGATGTTCCTTCTCACCATCTGTTCATATTCGCTACAAGAAATTAATCATTTAAGCCTTAAAATATCAGATTACAACCATTTTTCATTTCTATATGTACCTCACGTGAACCATAAATGACCTAAACGAAGTTGTAAAAATCTATCTAAATAAAATCTGCTGAGAGATTGGGCCATTTTGACAAAAGTTAATAATAAATAATCTAAAACTTGTAAAAGTGGTCAAAGCACAATGCTTATGACTCTTTTTCAAAGTGACTAATCTTTTATCAAATGAGGAAAGCACGGTTGTTTTAGAATTTCATGCCATCTTTACGAGAGAAAGGCAAAGTATTGACCATAAGCAACATCGTGCAAATGATGTTTGTTTAATTGACACATATAATAATGTCCAGATAACATAACCACACACTGTGAACATGGATAAATCTCCAAAAGAGGTAAATTAAAACCATGAGGTAGATGCACAAACCATGCTTGTGAGCAGCATGTTCCTTTTCCACAAGGTCAGATAAATATTCAGTGCCAATGATATGGCCATGACTGTTCAGGCGAAGCTGCAGAAGGTTTAGCCTTGTTAGCCATATACCAAACATGGAAATCTTCCCATAAATCCTACATTCATTTCTAAACAGTAAGAAATGAATTCTGAAGAGAATGTCCCATTCATTAACACAATGATCGTTAAAACAATAAAGTCTTTCTGACAATAAAAAGGTTGTCTTACTTTCCATATGTTGGTATCAAGATCCACCTCGTGCTTGCCTGACATGTCAACGGCATCTACACTTAATACTGCAAAAATAATATGATAAATGATAAATCAGCCAACAGTCGGTTTCTGAATGAGATGATCAGAAAAGAGATGAACTAACCATCACAAGGTAATGAAGGAAATGTCATATTAATGTGAATTGGAAGTGTTTCTCCACGTTTCAAGTCTACAGACATCTGCCAAATACCTGAGCAGTTAGATCAACTCACCTAACCTTAAATGATCTCAAACTACTAATGACATCACATCCGATAAGAAAATTCCATCAATGGGTTAAATCAGACAGAAAGGTCGAAGAGGAAAGACTGTTAGAGAACTTATGCTTGGGTGCTTACTGTAAAAGATTTCAGAAAAGCTGCCTCAATGACACTTGAGGTAAGTTAGGCTTGTAGAATTAACGTTGTAGAACAGAAGAAGGATTCATGGTCTTTAAATAAGGTTCAAATAAGTGGCTGCTGAGTTACAAGGATCGGTTAAAATCTTATACATGGTAATTGTATGCAAAGATGTGGGTATTGTTGTAAATTGACTTTATCGTGACTAGTATATGGAAGGTCAGTAGATTTAAGCAGTTTGGGGAAGATATAGATGTGATTGAAGAAGATTATTACATAAAAAATAAAGCACAGGATTAAAGCATTCGTTGTCTTGAATTAGAAGCCAGACAAAGAGTATCCAACAACCTACTGAAAGACACACACGATATAATACAAGCATGTTTAAGGAAGTAGACAAGTTTGTTTCAAACTTGTTTTCACCACCCTCTATGAAAACCATTGGAAAGAAAGAGAAGCTAATGACACGCAAAATCTAAATGTAAACATTTGAATTCGAGTTGCTTCCATAACATTCTAAGAAATTTAAAGAAAGGCAATGCCATTACTTCATCCAAACAAATTCAACCACATAAAATAGGTGGCAGCCATAATTTAAACTACAAAAGGGAGAAAAAAACAAACCTGATGAACTGTATACGTTGAAAGATAATATGTGAGCTCGTGAAAGAACAGCACAGCCATTATCACTAAGCCAACGACGGACACTATAACAATGAATTTTACCATTGAAAAAAGAAAACAATTAGCTGCGATTCAAATGAACAAATAACATCATTTTTTTAGTTGAATATAAATTAGAAATTAACAACTCACCTAGCGCTCCCGATTGCGTCTTCTGCAACAAATGTTCCTCCGCGCGAGGAAATGCATCCAGACTTTTAATAGCTTGCTTCAAGCCCATCTTTCTTTTAAAAAAAGAATCTATTTCTACCAAGAACCCAAGCAAAAATTAAAATGAATTAATCGGAGGCCTTAAACATTGAAATCAATCTCCAGTATTCTAACCTAATACAGATTAAAAGGGAACGAAGAATTAGGGTTCGTTAGAACCATAACAGAAATCGAATCGGATTTGCTGTTAGAATCGGGGTCTCCAAAGCAATAATAATTGAAATAGAGTTATAGCAGCAGATGAGGAACAATGAAATTACCTAATAAGGAGATTTGTTAAGGAGAGAGCAGCTTCGAAATCTTCGTTAAGGGGGTGCGATGGATTATCGTAGGCAGTCAACTCCGACAGCAGTAGCCGCCTGGATTTGTACTTATTAATTTCTACTATATATCCGGTGGAGGAAACGAAATCTAAAAGTAAAATACTTTTTTTTATATTTTCTACTATAATAATTATACTTAAATTATCACATTAATAATTTATTATCAATAAAATTTGTATAATAATAATTATATAAATAAAATTATGAGGAAAAAAGATCAAATTAATTATGAATATGATTTTTTATGATACCGTTATTAAATTTAATTATATTTATAATATTTATAATATAAATCTTCAAGCACGAATCAATTTATATTAGTAGTTAAAAGAATCGTTATTGTTCCTAGAGATTACGGGTTCGAAAACCAATGACTGCAAGAGTGATTGAAAGTTTAATGTCAAATAGTTGAGAATATTTAACTTAAATACTACTTTGTAATAATCTTCATAGATTTATTTTTGATAAGTGTATTTTTATATAAAAAATATAAATTGTTGGAATTGGTAAAACTCTTTCGATCAAAAGTTGTATCGTGCGGGAATTAATCGTTCATATGATTCTTTGATAGAAAGAAAAATAAGGGCATGTTGCTGTCATTTTTAAAATTATCAAATATCACTAAAGTAATGTCTAAACCCAATAATTCAAGGTTTTAATTGTTACACTACTAACGTAATAGAGTAGATGAATGATTATTAACGTGGTATAGGATTTAATTATTTTTTAGAAAGTGTAAAGATTTAATTAATTTAAAAAAATTTGAATTGATCCTTAAAATTAAAATATTAAATAATTTGGAAAACTAAAAAAATATTAAAATAACTAAAAAGTTTAAAAATAGTATATATTTAAAAACTTTTGAAAAATATTGAAAATATTCTTTAAAATATTAGGATAATTATTTGTTTGGTCACCCACCTAATCTCACATTTTTATTTTGATTAATAAATTATTTTTTCTTCAAAACCATACCTAATTTCTGTTTTAGGAATAATTGGTGGGATATAAATAGGTAGTTTATTCTCTTGCATGTAAATTGATGTCGAGTTATGTTCTGTTTGTTGTTGTTTTTCCCCATCTCCAATGTCTTTAAATATTGCAGGGTATTTGTCGGGAAAGGCAATTAACATGATCGAATGGTGAGCTGCAGGTAGGCAGTAGGATAAAGCTACATTTACATGGAGACAAGGTTGGTATTACTTAATCATCTCCTAACAAATAATAAAATTAATGATTGAAACCAACTACTTAAACCGACTTGCCGAACCAGTTTCTGCAAAATCGCTATCCAGTTCGGAATTCTCAGTGTGTTTGAATGGGAGAAGCCGACGATTCGAGAGTGCTCATGGAACGTAACCAAGAACAAGACAAGGGGAATCTCCATATACTAATGTCTCCCAAAATTCCAAAGGTGGTGAAACCGATCAGTACTGCAGCCGGATGTGAGAATGTTAAGCGGCCTCGAGGGAGGCCGGAAGGGTCCAAAAACAAACCGAAACCGCCCATCATCCTCCCTCGTGACAATGCTAATGCAATAAGAGCTCATGCAATGGAGGTTAGCTCGGGTTGTGATGTAAAGGAGAGTTTAGCTAACTTTGCTAGGAAAAAGCAGCGTGGCATTTGTGTGCTTAGTGGGAGGGGATGTGTGACCAATGTTACACTTAGACAACCGGCTTCATCGGGCGTGATCTTTACTCTTCACGGCTGCTGCGAGATCCTCTCTTTGCTTGGATCGATCCTGCCACCTCCAGCCCCGCCTGGGATTACGGGGCTAACAATTTACTTGGCAGGCGCTCAGGGCCAGGTTGCTGGCGGAGTAGTAGTTGGTGCACTCATTGCTTCCGGTCCCGTTCTCATCATGGCTGCATCCTTCATGAATGCCACCTTTGATCGTCTACCACTGGACGAGGACGAAGTTGCAGCAGCTATGCAGAATCAATATGACCATCGCAATGGTCCGCATCATCAGCTTGACATTTCAGATTACGGGATGCTGCAAAACTTGATCACCAGTGGCACTAAACCTCCCGAGATGTACTCTTGGGCACCGGGACGAACTATGTCCAAATAATCCTCATTTAGTGTTATTTACTGAGTTTTTCTCATTGCAGTATCTTCACAGCCTCGAATATTGTATCATCGGCTCTTCATTTTTCTTCAAAAAATTAAATAAAATCGAGCATACCGGTGTAGGACGAACACCTAACACATGTTACTGTGATCCATCGTATCGTAAAACGAGTTTCTCAAAGCAGAGTAAATCTCCTTCCACCAGAAACAAACTGATCATGAACCTCGCCATTAACTTCAACCAGACTACACTCTGGTTCTTAGAGGAATCCGGCATTACCTAGCACATAAACCATGCAACTATAGTGCTTAACGGATGAAAAGTATTAAATTGCTCTATCCACAATCCTTGCACGATTACAAGCCATTAGAACACTAATGAAGCTGACATAGTCTTGTTCGAGACTTGAATACTCTAGCATCGAAAATAATGGAATCGCTTCTCGTTCGCATGCATTGATAGCTAGGCCTAAGATCACGGCAATTCTTCATCGGGAGATGTTCTAAAACATTATTGTCGAGCCATTTTGACATTGCCACACTTGCAATACATGTCCATAATTGCAGTAGCGAGAGTCAGATTCAACTCGAAGTTCTGGTTTAGTATATAATTATGAATTCACAGCCTTGAACATCGAAGGATAAGTTTGCCTTTCTGGTTTAACAGAGGAATGAACCAAGGGACATGGCAATCTCTGGTTAGAGCTTCGAGAGAAGGCTCTAATGACGATGTTCCAAGCGAAGAAATTCAGGTTTTTGATTCGAGTGAAGACGGAACAAGCATAGTTGATGTCACCTGCAGGAGATGCTGAGAATGCCAGCACAAGGCTAACTGCTACGGAGAAAAACCACTCTACCATTAATGTATCGAAGAATAATTCTTTAACCAATTTTAACGGTATTAATATTTTTTGCAAGATATTATTAACATGAAATTTACATATATATATATATATATATATATATATATTAAAAATATTATTATTCTAAAATAATACTAAAAAATTATTTTCTGTAAATGTTACTTGACAACACCGTGATGTAACACGTGACTCTAATTAATAAAAAAATATTATCTTTAATGGTTAACGTTGATCGAAAAATAAATTGATAAAAAAATTAATTATTTTCTTTTCCAAAAGTTCGAAGACTTCTAATATTATAATCTTAAAATATATAATGTAGCACACCACACACAAATTACCGAAAATAACAGAAACGTGAAAACGAAGGCAATGGCATATAAGGGGCATTAAATCATGGAATTGGGTACCAAGAAAGTAAAGCCATTAAAGAAAGCTTCAAGAATCAGGCGCCTCTCGCCAGCTTTTTACACCATCTTTCACAAGACTTGAAAGGAAGCAAGCGAGAAGTTCACTTTATCAGCTACATATGTATTGCAAGAGCAAAAACTAATTTGATAAACTAATCTTTAGCGAGGCATAAATTAATGTTGAATCAGTCTCAATCAGAGACGATTCTCGTTTAAGGGAGACAAAGTATAATTAACAATACAAAATAATAGGTAAAATTAAAATAAATTAAAATTTAAAGGTTCAAATAAATATTTATCCTTATATTTTTCTAATGATATAAAACTTAGGAGGCAGCAACACCCGAGACAATGAATAACTCCGTTTCTGTGCTCAATGATCATTACTACATTTCCATGTAACACTAATGGATATTAGGGATAGAATTATAATTTTTTTTTTATAAAATTCAAAGATAACAAGTCGAATTATATGTTTTCAAATTATATAATTTCTTTACATCTTTGATTTAAATAATTATTAAAATCGTACAAAAAATCGATTTATATCAGAAATACAATTTTTTATAATTTTTACATTAAATATTTAAGGAGAGTAAAATTAGACTAAAAAATATTATTTTTAAATAATTTTTTAGATATTATTTCATTAAATAATTATGTTTACATAATTTTACTGTTTTAGAGGTGGTAATGTATTTAATATTCTGAAAGAAAATTAGTTTCATAAACTTAAAATAAGATAATATTAAACGTATAGTAAATAATAATTAAATCATGAGATAAACCATGATACTAACACAAAATATTTATAAAATTTACTATCTTTATTTAAAATTTGTGATCCGGATGGATTGAGAGACTGATGAAGACAATCATTATCTGAAAATTTTAAATTTTTTATAATTTAAATTTTTTATGTATTTTATGTTGATAACTTGTTTTTACCACTCTAAAATTTTATAAGTTAGAATTTTAAAATAAAACTCTACCTTCATCCCTGTACGTGACTATTTTTCATAAAATATAAAATATATATTACTACATTCAATAGTTATCAATAATTAATTTATACAATATATGAATAACATTAAATTTAAGTTATAATATTTAGTCTATTAAAAAATTCTTCTAAACATAGCATTTCCATTATTAATATAATCATACATTTTAATGATTAACTTTAATTGTAATTATTAATAAACTATATATATATATATATGTGTGTGTAAGGTTAGGCAATTTAGGGGTAGGGTTTATAAATGCAAAAGGAAAAAAATAGAAAAAAAGTCAGAGGAGTTCATGGAAAAAAAATAGAAACAAACTGATTTGGGCCTGATTTATGTTGGAAATGATGTTTTGGTGATCTTGGAGTGCTCGGCTGTCGCTCCCAACCCCGCCATCACCGTCACGTGCCACCACATGTTGTCGTGTGCGCGTGCTGCTCCTCCCCGATCTTGGAACCACCTAGAACTGATCTAAGTCAACTCGTACCGAATTGAATCAACCCGAACCGATCTGACTCGTTGTCTTTGACATGATCGTTGATTTCTCGTTGACCAGAATCATTGACTTTGACTTTGACAATTGACTTTGACCAAGAAGTCAAAATTTTTGAAAAGTCATGTTTTATGTCTTTTGACGTCTTGAGTCCAAATCTGAAGTCTGCTTTGCCAAATTCGAACTCGAAACCCTTCAAATTGACCCATGCAACTCGAATATGCATATATAATTTAAGTATTTATTTGAGTGATTTAATTAAGTGCATCTAATTTAAGGGTCAATGACTAAATTATTTTGTCGTTTAATTAAGGTACCCATGATTCTCCCAACCGATTGCCTGCTCGGCCCGGTTCCTCTTGACCCGCTCATCTGTGAGAGCCCATGATTACTTATATAGTTCTGCAACACTGTTAAATACTCAGTTTAGTGTACTACTCCAATAATAATTTTGTTCTGATATGATTTAGGTTCTCATACAGTCGAAGAGCATAGTGAAGCTGGTGCTCGATACGAGGTGTGTTCCTTGTGTGCTATATACATATATATGTTTTATATACATGTTTGAAATATCTTGTGCACATGACTGTTTTACCTGATTTGTAATATGGCTAGCTGATTTGATTTAAATTCACATGATTTATTTGTTTTAAGACTGATTTCTAATTTACTGAAGTTTTAAGTATGCTTGTTTGATTCATGTTATCTAGTTATTGTTTTTATTGAATTGATATCTGTTTGAACTTTGATTTCCTTGCTACTGTTATTTATTGTTTGAAAACTATGCTCTTCGGGATACTTTGGGATTTAGTATGAAGTTTCTACAGGTTCAACTTCGATCAAACTGTTAATTACTTATATAGGTTCAACTTCGATCAAACTGGTAATTACTTATATAGGTTCAACACCGATCAAGCTGATAATTCTTTATGGACCTAAGACGACCTTTGGGTGAGCTCTTAGGCCCAATGGGCATAGTGATAAGACCTTATGGACCCTAAGGTACTTCTTTAGGGTGATTCCTCTGCTATGTGCATTAGGTAAGTCCTTATGATCCTGAGGGCACACCCCTCAGGTGCGCACCTACGCTTCGGCTAAGTTAAGACCTTATAGACCCAAAGTGGTCTCTTAGGTTGACATCTATGCCTTTTGGGCATATGGTAAGTACTTATGGATGTAGTTTCCCATAACTACATATGGTGTACGATTGGAGGATTGTTCTGTATTTTAAATTACAACTCTACTATCGTTTTCATAACTTTGATAATGAACCAATTTTGAAACTTAATTGTATGTTTTTATTTTGCATGCTGGAACACACTTAGCTCCCTAACTCACTCCCCCAAACTTTCCCCTTTCAGATATTTTTTTATAAGCGATCTGGACTTGACATTTGTTGGATTGACGCATTCGTACATGATTATTTTGTTGTAATGTTTTTATCTTCCGAGTTACATTTATTTTGGGTGACATGTGTCTATATTTTGAAAATAATTGTTTTACGACGTTTGTTGCTTTTGTTACTAATGTTAGATTTGCTTTGATACTGATTATGGAATATTTTATTCAGTCCTTACGACTTTAATTCTTAGAATTGAGCTTTAATATTATCAACTATATTTTTAAAAATGTTTATTTGTAATATGGTTTTAAACTATTGAAAAATGTTTTGGAAAAAATTTATAGTAATATGTTAGATTTAGTCGTAATGCATAGACAGAGTCTAGAGGGTTACAATCTCCCTCTAACTTGATCGTCCATAAATTAATTGGTTAGTTTAGTCTTTTAATTTTTACTGTTCAAATTAGATTCACTCTCTCTTGTTTGTGTGCCTGTAATGCCTCTGACCACGTGCAATCACAACTGCTGATTTTATTCCACTTTTCGCTGGTCCAGGATGTAGCATTAGCATCTGTGTCAATGAGGCCAACCCCTTTTGCACCGGTTTTGGAGAAGCTTTCACTTTCTGAAATGAAATATGGATCCGTGAGGCGTTTTTACATAGAAACTGCCGAGGATAATGCCATACCGATGGAACTTCAAGAGAGCATGATTAACTCAAGCCCACCGGAAAAAGTATTCCATCTTAAAGGTGCATGATACATGCATCACAAGGCTCACATCAAAGGAAGAAGTAATAACTATTCCAAATGATCCACTCGTCCAAACCTTGAAAAAGAAGACCAGAATAGCAGCAGACTTACGACGACTTTTTGAATGAGATCATGATCTTATTTGGTCAACATATATTCTGGAGATACAACCGTCTGTCTTTTATCTTTTCAACGGTTCTTGAATCGCATCAATCCGATATCGGGAACTCAAGATATGGTCATTTTACTGAAGAAGGTGCATGCAGGAAATTCTATACGGAATTAATACGTGATTTTGTAAATATTTCGAATTTTTAATATTTATATTAATTATTTGTAATATAACTTAATATAAGATGATGAATTATCTTTTAGGATCAGACTTATTATTTTATTAGGAATTAAGGTTGGGTTAAAACAATATTTTTAGTTATTATTATTTTATTAGGAATTAGAGTTAAGACATGTTTGATTTATTATTTTTATTCTTTAGTTATTTAGGACCTTTAGAACTTAGCCCCTATATAAAGGAGGCTTCATTCAATTTTGTAAACAAGATTTCTTTGACTAACAATACAACGAGAGTTCGTTTTTGCAAGTGTTGATTGTCTTGTGCCTTCGAAGCTTCTTCTCCTTGAGTTATTTCAAGTTTTTGTAAGGGAGATTAATCTTCACACTCCAATTTGCATTTTCATTACGACTAGGAGGGTTGGTTAGAGCCATATTATCGTGTTTGCCTTTTCATTGCGACTAGGAGGGCTCGATAGGACATTATCCATTTTTTTTCCACATATCCATCCACACCATCAATCATATTTACCGTTCACTTTCATAAGGGAGATTTTTTGATTTCTTAGTTATTTTACTTTACTTTTAATTCCTTTATATTTTGTTTATCTTGTTTTAATCTTGTTTCTTACCTTGTTTCCAGTACCTAAAAAAAACCCTAAAGAACTCTAGATATTGCCGCCACCTTCCCTATTCAATCCTTATTATTCTTCATCGAGTCTAGAGCATTTTATGTTTGATTCTTCAACAAGAGCAACGTTCATTCACCCACCACCGCTTCCCTATCATAACTACTCACCATTTTTTTCAAAGCCTCAATCAAGCCTTGCACAAACAATTGGTAGAGATCTCAAAACTCCCTCCACCTTGAGAGAACCTAATTGTTCAATATTTCATGGGAGTCTCCCACTTGGGGCTTCATTTAATGAGGTATAGAGAAATCATTCTATTGAAATTCAGTGACCTTGTACATGCACATGCCCATACCAATAAAAATGATCTTTAGTTCTCGTCACTAGATAACTTAGACATTTTTCCTTGGAGCACGGAATATGTTGATATCGTTTTACTCGGTCCGTTTTTTTTTAGGTTTCCTTTAATGAGGTATTCATGTTTATGGCAGAAATACAAATAAGTGTTGAAATACGATTGTTGGATCCTTGTAGTTGAAATACAAGTACTGGTATTGAAATACAGGATACTAATTAGTGTTGGATCCTTGTAGTTGTCTCATGACAAGTGCAGTGTAGATGCCATCCTGTGCGAGAAGTTGTTCATGTGTTCCACTCTCAGCTATCTGACCATCACAAATAACACCCACTTTCTCTGCACTTTTTACTGTTGAAAGCCTATGTGCTATGATTAGAACACTTCTACCACTCATCAATGAATCCATTGCATCCTATCAAACACCATGGCATAAATTATATAGTTAATGCCTGCTTAAAGTCGAATGCCGATGAATATCTAGACTTGTTCAAGGGTCGGATTACTTTTCAGAAACACTCCGACCTACCCGACTGGGAGACGGGATTATGAAAAGCAGCTATGAGTGAGTCTCACCTGAACTAGGTATTCACTCTCAGCATCAAGGGCACTTGTGGCTTCATCCAAAAGCAACACTTTGGGATTCATTAACAGTGATCTTGCAATTGCTAGTCTTTGTTTTTGACCTCCCGACAGCCTCAAGCCCCTTTCTCCGACTACTGTTTCGTATTTCTCGGGAAAATTTTCGATGAATTCATGGGCATTCACCATTTTCTGCACTCGCACAACATTAAAAACATTGCAAAATCTACTGTTTTATTTATTATTAGTAAAAAGATGAATATCATAAGCTTACAGCTACATATTCTATTTCAGTTTTGCTGACTTTGCCATTGATTCCATATCCAATGTTCTCCCCTATGGAACAATTGAATAGAACTGGTTCCTGGCTGACCATACTCACCTGTATTTGAACAAAGCATGAGCACAACATCGGAATATAACACCTCAAACGCGATTACGACACGTAAACATAACATAAAACTGACACAAATATACTTGTTACAAAGTTTAACATCATACGCTCGAGCTATTCTTACGCATAACATTGAGAAAGATCAACAATAAAGACTACCTTTGTATGAAGATATTGATGTGATATTTCAACTAAAGGAATCCCATTTAACAAAATACTTCCCTTGAGAGGATCGTAAAACCTCTCGAGTAAGTTTGCTATGGTCGTCTGCAACAGATTGGAGATCAAGCTTTAGTAATTTGTTAGTCCATGGTGAAGAAAAATGCATCAACTTTCTGGGAAATAACTCACAGGGAAAAGGGGTAGCGACATTTACCTTTCCACCACCACTTGGTCCTACAAGGGCTAATTTTGAGCCTGCCTTCAGTTTCAGTGTTATTCCCTGCAATTCCAATCAGATTTACATTATCTAGTGAATGCATGCATTGGTATTACTTGAATATAACAGTGCTGTTCATCTCCATCATGCTCGGAAAACCTCGCTCAACGATCTCACCGAAATCTCATTTAACTAAGTGTTGCTTGTTCAACATGTGAACCCGATTCATTCCAAAAAAAGGGGGTGCCCAACACCATTGAATCAATGCACATTATTGAGGCAAAACATGGATAAGTTTACTAGAGGATGACAAGTTCCGTTAAACTTCTGTTTTCTGTGTTTTAAATGGTGTGATGTGCTTGAATTCATTTGTGTAGGCATAGAAACCATTACCTTGAGTACCATATGACTTGGCCGAGAAGGATACGCAAACCAGACATCATCCAATTCTACATCTACATCTGGATTCCTGCCATTCAGAGGGATATAACATCATGGTTTAAACGCAATCTGCATTCTTGATTCGTGATTTCTTGCAGTTATCTTGCTCAATTTCATAACATAATGAGATTGTAATTTAACTAACCCCACTGGACACTTATCCCCTGATTTTGGCATGCTTGGGACACGATCTAAGAGCTGGAAAATCCTCCTACTTGACCCTGCAGCTTTCATGGCAGATACATGTGATCCCGATAACGAGGAAATTGAGGATCCAACTGCAGCCACAGAGCACAGAGGGTTTAATTCAATGAAAAAACTTATTGCAAAGAAACATTTTAGTTAATTTGTTCCGACCAAAGTTGCAGAATGAACATGAATATTGTAAAAGTACCTGTAAGACTATAAAGGATGAAAGATATAAAAGAGCCTGCAGTCATGAATCCCATAATTGTCAAGTAGGCTCCATAACTCACCACTATGAAAATAGACAGTTTGGATGCAGCGTTCAGTCCTCCAAAGTATAAACCAACTACTTTCTGTTGAAGAAAATTAACAGCCGCGATATCACGTTCGGGCCGCCGTTTAATTCTCGTACCGATGAACGTGAAGGTGTGTGTGATTGAGAGATGGAAAGGACACTCACAGCTCGTTTGAGTCCAATATTTAGTCTGTCATCAACTTTCTCAGAGTATTTGCATACTGTATAGTCTTCTTGAGCAAATGATCTAATTGTTCTAATAGCTCCAAAAGATTCCTAAACATCAAGACGTTTGTCAAGGAGGACAGAATTGAATGCTTTCGATTTTCAATACAGGTTGTGGTTCTTACAAACCTCGGCAACTGAGGCAGCCACTGCTGCGGCGGCTTGTGTGGTGTGAGAAAATTGTTTGAGATACCGTCCGAATCTACGCATGGCAACTGCAACAACTGGAACTACCGCCAAGGATAACACTGAACACAAATAACAGCTATTGTGGGTCTGGGGCTGCTAAACTCTCAACATTAGTTAAAACTGATTTATGCAAGCAGGGGAAAGAGGGCTGCATACGAGTTAGTTTCCATGATGATGAAAACATGAAACAAATGCCGAAAACGGTACTCGTTAGATTCCGAAGTGCCTCTGAAAGATTGGTTATTGCTGCAGTTTTGATGATCTGTGTATCCTCAGATAGTCTGTTGAGGAGCTCTCCGGTTGAAGTATCATCGAAGAAGGCTATCTCCTGTTGAACAATTTTAGAATGAAACAACATCCAATAACTTGCAGATCGTGGAGGCCGACGCTCAACTTTTGAGAACAGGATTCCCAAAAATCTTGTTCGTTACAAGACTTGAGGATTCAATGATCCATGGATTTTAGTCCCACAGAAGAAATACGGGAATAAGGTATAGGTAGCAACAAGCTGCTGATATGAAAGGCCTTACCTGATGGATAAGGTGACTGAACAAGTTTAGCCTTAGACGAGCTACAATCCTCTCACCAGCACAAGAAAACAACCATGCTTGAGCTGCTCTGCATATCGACCTGATAAGATCAATAAAACATGAACCTATAGACTCGATTTTCGTTTAAAGTTTAAGATCAAATCAAGTAAAGTGAATGGGAAGTTACCCTATTACAATTATCAGTAGAATATATGTTATGGTGTGTTTGATGGCTTCTAAAGCTTCTGATTGCTGTTGTGGGATCTTTGTTTTTCTTGACACAGTGTCTATAATCATTCCACCGTATTTAGGCTGCAATACAAGCATTTTGGTCAAAACTCGAATCGTATACCAACTCAATTTTCTCGTTTAATGGCGACTGCATGAACCGGGCAAAGCCTATGCAGGCGGTGCTGCTATAATATTGGTATGACACACACGAGTCCGAGTAATATAGTATGTAGGTGTACAAAATCTAGAACATAGAAAAAGGAAGGAGCAACGTACAATCCAGAAACTCGATGCAGATGCTACGAAAAGCGCAGCGGTGGCGAAGATAAGCTTCCCAGCATCTGGTTTTGCCTACAAATTGCAGAAACTAGTCCAATTCAATAGTGTGGCCATCTGTATTTTTGGTCCTATGCAAAGGGATTGATGAAAATTTAAGTACCGACCAGTGAAAATAATCTGGACAATCCAACATTAGATTCCTGAAAATGTTCCAAATAAAAGAAATCAAGCCTGCTGCACAAGTGATAAAGATATAGAACAAATAAGTCGACCATCCATCACCTCAGAAGCACCGTCGTGCTCAAAATCCGGTACGGGGTGGTTCGATGACTGGTTATCATTTGCCTGCTTACTTACCTGCAAAAATGGAAGTGGATTGATCCCCTTAAACTATATATACATACATATACAGTGCTTAAAAGACGGGAAAAACATGATACAAAACCAAACAAGATCATATGTATGTATGTCTATATATATATAACTTCCTTGTACAAAAGGGGCACTCTTTCACTGTCTGAATGAGAAATGGAACTTGAGGTCCAATTCATGTTCTGTTTCTTCCCCATTTGGGGGGGGGGGGGAACAACAACAAAATTTGATAAACAAATGCAACAATGTAAAGTTGGAAATTGTTTCTGCAAGTTAGCTGCTAGTGTGTCTATTTTAAGACTTCATGGTATTATAAACAAAGAACAGGAAAATGTTATTTTCGTACATTGTTTATTTTAGGAATAAGTATTCTATCGAGTCGATTCGAAACGAGTTAAAAAATTTAAGTTAGTCGAATTGACGTGTCAAATGAGTCTAGTTGTTTAAGTTTTTTGTTCAAATTTAATCATAATTATTTATAAAATTATGGTATGAATGAATTCCAATTGAATATCTTTCTATAATCATATAAGACATACATATACATTCTTCATATTTCTTTTCATATTATAATATTATTTAATAAATTAACATCATCTACGTTTATAAAATATATTTATAATTTAATTTTTTTAAGAAGATATTTTGAAGAAAAAATATTGATATAATATAAAGGAGTCAATGAATTGATATGAAGAAAAAAATTGTAAAAAATTATAGTTAAAGAATTAAATTGAATAAAAAATAATGTTGAGAGACTAAATTAAAAAAAAAGTAATTCTTTTTGTTAAAAATAGAAATTGAAATCACATAGATATTATATAGTGGTAGAGGAGCATATGATTCAAATTTGGTAAAAAATGAATGATAAAGTAGAAGTAGAAGGAATTAGGCGTGAATATTCGATCAAGTAGAATTAAAAAATTGAGCAAACTACATATTTAGTCATCTATTTATTCTCGTGATTTCGTTTTGGTCATCTAAATATATTTTTTAATTCATACATAACGTTCCGTTTTGGTCACCCGTCGTTAAAAAATAAATAAAACAATTGACGTGTCACCATAAGGCAATTCCACATCACCATTGAAAAAACAATTACCACATCAGTCGTTATGTTTATTTTTAACTGCAAATGATCAAAATGGAATCAAAACATAATATTATGTATGATTTTGAAAAAAAAAATTGATTGACTAAAACTAAACCGCGATAATAGATAAATGACTAAATACATAATTACTCTAAAAATTTTAAACTAATTATAAATTATGGCATGTTTTATTCATTTCCAGTTAATTTTATGGCATGTTTCATGAGACCTTTTATATATCATCAATAAACTAGAAATAAAAGTCCGGACAATTCATTCTTCACCCCTTTCATAGGAAAGGAACTTATTAATTTGATACATTGATTATAGAGTTTTCTATCTTCAACATGATTAATAAATTAAACAAATAGTATTTATTTATTATTTATAAAATATTTATTAGGGATTCGTAATAATTTTTAATCTTATTTATAATATTGAAAAAGTTTCTATCATCGCTTTATCTAGAGATGGATCGAAGAGGGACGGATGAGGGTGATCGCCCGTCTAAAAATTTCAAATCTCTATATATTTTAGATATATTTTTTTATATTTTCTACTGAAAATATATTTTTACCCTCTAAAAGTTTTTAAGTATATTTACTTTTGAAATTTGATAAATTCATCGTCTACATAATCGTGTCCGTCCAAACTCTATCAAATGATTACGTTAAAAAGATAGGTATTGAATGAATTGTGCATGTTTAATGCTTGTTTTTTTTAGATGACAAAGTAAGGTCAAATGGTGTTGAGCATGAATCAAACCGTCTTGGATAAGGTTTCTTTATTTTCATGGAAAAAGAATACGTGTTTAATCTATACTCCAGCATCGATTAAAGACATGATATTCTGAAATTCTTTTAAGTACTATTCAAAAACAATCTTTTAAATATATGAAAAATTATAATAATTTATAATAAAGTTATGAATAATGATGAATGAATGAAAAACACAGATAAGGAGAAAGTTAATTATTTAATAAGACTGAAATTTTATATTAAAAAAATACTTTGATACAAAATATAACATATTATAACATGTTACTCGATATACGGTGTTGAATATAAATACAAGTTTAATATGTATAACATTTTTTAAAATATATATATTTATATATTGCATGTAGATTATATATGAATATTTAAAAAAATGATAAAATAATAATTTATTTTCACCTAACACACATAATGGAATACTAAAGAGATCCAAGTTTCAGAAACCCCCTTTAGCTCATGAGTGAACTTTTCTTCTTTTAGTTACCATTTTTTTTTTCTCTTTGCAAGAGAAAGAGAGGGAGGGAGATTAAGCCAAACCGAAACAAAGATGAGGGATTTAGGATCGATTTCTGTACCGTTATTATTTCTAATGGCAATGCTGCTGATCTTCAACTTCAATTGTTGCGCAGCCGCTGTCTTAGTGGAGAAGAACGACACCTCTTCCGGCTGCAGTGGCCAGATCGACGATGGCTACGGAAGCAGCTTCATAGGCGACGCCGTGGAGTTGGATGTGTTGACGGATTGCTACGTCCACCGTGTGCTCCAAGGCGGCAACGGAAGATCGAAGACTGCGGTCACCAAGAATCGTAAACGCACTCTGAGCTGCGGCAAGGGCAAACCGTATGGTTCATGCTTGGGTGACAAGAAGGATGCCGGGAATTGCGGTACGTTCAATCGTGGTTGCAGGGGGTGAGAAGTAATATGACATAAAGGAAAGAAATTGCGTTTGTTGATTTAGATGTTCTTCTCCTATGCTTTGTTTCTTGAAAATGTTTGGATCTTATTGTCTTGATTTCCCCACTTTAATGTGATTATTTATTTTCCTTTGATTATGATTTGAATGTGATTGATGCTACTTTTTCCTATAACTCGTGATTAATTCGAAACAATTAAATCTTTTTGAGGAAATTTTAAATTGCAAGTCCAATCTCAACAATTAGATATTGTATTTTTTTAAACGACATTATTAATAAATAATCGGGATTATATCTCTATTTTTAGTTAAAATTCTCAAACCAAAAACTCACAAAATGGATCAAATCTGTAGTATTCCATTAATTCACATCGAATATTGTAAATGACTATTCTAAAGATGAGTCTATCGATCTAATTTAATTAAAAGAATTAAATATTAAATTATATCTTAGATCCAAATTTAGGAAAAGCAAAACATATATCAGCCCTTTGTTTGTTTATTTCATTCTGCGTTCTCATGAATTTTGGCATTTCATGCTTTCCAACTCGAGGTTTGTGGAATAATGAGAATGCTTTACTATTTAAAAAGTCATCATTACAATTATGTGCAAAAAGAGGCTGGCAATTAAGAAAATGATATCATGGATATGATGTTTAAAAATATACATTAATTAATTAAATAAATCTAAATAATTACAATGTCCAAACTTTCTTTGACAAAGGGACCTCTTGATGAGAAAATCAATGAATTCAAACATTTCTCTGGCATCCCCGATGCACGTTCTCCTCTACTCCGTTCTTTGAATTATGTTTACGCAGATTACTCAACTATATTAAAATAATCGTTTTAGTCAATTGATTTTATAATATTTTGATAAATATTTAATAGTTATTTTATAACCATTAAACTTAAAAGCGATGGGTTTTTTTTGTCAATCTCGCTTACCGACGTCGGTTTCTGATGTACATTTCTCTGCCTCTTTGCTAACGTCTTCCTCGTTCCCTTGATAATCTTTAAAAAAACGACGTCAGGTTCATAACTGATAGGACCAACGGCACAATGAATATTAACAATGGTCCATAGCCGTAGTTGTTAACCTGCTTAAACTGATAGTGTACTTCTCCGAGGCATTTTATCAAACACTCTTGGAAACATGGAAAGGGCCGCATCCAGAAGTATGCACGACTATACAAATGTTTCATGTATGACCGTGTAATGCTCCGATGAGCAAGGATATGCTAAAAAAGTTGCCACAACAATAACAAATCAACCCTAAGCTACCGTGTTACTAAAAAAACAATGATGTAAAGAACAAAGAATCAAGATCGATGCTCATTGCTATCCCTATCAGGGGATTTGAGGGAGCACCCCATCTCCTTTTAATATCCTTGCACTTTCTTCGTCCACCGCAACCCTACTCCAATTGGAATTTCTCATGGAGAATATCCTCCTTCGGTCGAAACCGTTTCCTCTAAAGCCGGTTATCTTTGATGACATCATAGGCATTACAAGAACCGCCGAAGCATTGATGGAATCCTCCCCGAAGCATAGTGATAGAGCACATGTTGTCTGCAAACATATTTACCGATATCAATGTGCGCACCCGAAATTAGAGTGTAATAATGTTTTTGCTAAATCATAATTCTCCATATCCAATTAGCAGTACCTTTGCCTTGGCAAGTATATCTGTGACCTTCATCACCACTATATGTGTAAATGATTTCATCTCTTTATTATCCGCATCTTCGGATGCCAAGATAAACCTATGAGGAATAATGAGTACAGTCAGTCAAGTATAGTTAGACAATTATGCAAGTACATTGAGGCACTTACAGTTTCGACAACAATAAAGAAAAAAATAACTATTTGTGTGCACTAAGAAATCTGTCTTTTACCTGTCTGTTTCAGTGCTGGAAGACAAATTAGAATTCATATGTGAATTATCCTTTAGTTCAACACCTAAGAAAGGGGAAAAAAAGAGGTCAGAATAAGCTCACACCTTTAAGATCTCCATACAGAAAATTAAATAAAGTCTCCAATCTAAGAACCTCTTGGCTCATCGGGTGCCAGTAAAGAAATTCCTATGAATACAGATATCATTCCTAGTATGAACATAGTTGTTCTCAGTCCGTCAAACACCTGTTTTCGTCAAAAAATGAAACACCATTTGAGGTCATCTGATTCCATTATCCAGAAGTTAGGAGCTAGAGTAGACTTGAAGAATACTGGCTTGTTCAGACTAACTGCATGATTAGCCTTACAGCTTTGGTACATGTAAAATGGAAAAAGCCGTCAATTTTCACTTTAGTTATTTTTATTGAATGATAAGTCCTTACTGAAAGAAAATATTACATAAGGCTGTTCAATAACCAGTAACTGCAAAAAGAAAATGCAGTAAAAATAAATAAATAATTCCAGCAAAATGATATTGCTGTACTGAAGACATATTACACTGAAAATTAATTCATGCAAGCAAGGTGATTTGAACTAAGAATATTGACATAGTATACATTTTGTGTGTGTGTGTGTGTGAGAGAGAGAGAGAGAGAGAGAGAGAGAGAGAGAGAACCTGGTATTCCTGGAAATATATAAATCCTGTACAGATGGAGAAGAAAGTCCAAGCAATTTGAAACATGGGAACAATCAGGATTGCATCAAAGAGAGACAACCCTTCATTTAGCCTTGCCATCTGCAGTAAGTTTAGTACAAGTCTTCTGAAATCACTCTCCAAGACAGAAGCATAAAATATAAATTACGCCATGATCCTTACCCAAAATCCAGCTGTACTCAGAAATAAAAGTGTCATGGAGTATGTGAACCAGCTGTGCAACTGATACCCATTGGACATTGTCAACCTTAAAAGGTTAGATCTATATAATATGAAATTCATGATTAGATTTAATCAAAATGCAAATTTTACTTGAAAGATAAATGGCGTCTAAAACAATTAACTTACAGAGATTTTGCAAATAACACTGAGCATGATCCTACAGCTCCTGAAACTATAGCATATGAAAAAGGAAGCAGCATATTCCAATACGGTCTAAGTTCTTGTCCTGGGAAAGCAAGAAACATTTCCCCTCTCCTGAATGCTTGCATATTAAGGCATGCCCATCAGTTAAAATATGTCTAGAATGAAAGCATCAGCATTATTAAAACAGCTGACTCCCAAATCTCACCTGTAGATATAGTGATGAAATGCAACAACTATGATCAAAATCAGACAGTAAATAAGGAAAGTTATATTGCTGTATTTCTCTGCCAACTGTCCCGGTGTATAAACTGAAAAAGAAACAGAAACGGCCCATGCATTTTATTTTAGAACCAGTGAAACCAAAGCTCAGTCTCCATGCCTGCATGTGGACAAGTCTCTCTCTCTCTCAATGCTTATAAATGAATATATAAGTAATATATATATTGGGTGAGAGAGAGAGACCCAACACATTTATGTCCATGTATTGTTGTATGTCTTCCTTTTCCCCTTCTCATCAACTAGCTGATGGTCAGGAGGAAGGGATGCAACCAGGATGCAAAAGCTAATGCAATCATGTCTAAAAATCAAGTGAGATCAGATACCAGGAGACAGATGGTTGCCGAAGGCGACAAGGAAAAAATTTCCAAGAATTATAAATGCAGTAGCTGCTAGTACCCTGGCAGTAATGGCAATGCCAATGAGACAAGAGTTAGAAACAACATTCAACGAAATAAAATCGACTCATTTCTAGTTATCAAACTTTAACTCTTGCTTCAGGCTAAAACATACCTCACAGTAACCATTTTGTTTAGCACGAAATAAGCAAACGCAATGTTGGATACAAACTGAACAGATCCCAAGGCAGCAAGAAGAGACTACAGAGGAAGAAATAAGAAAAACATGAGAAAGAAAATGAAATAAGCAGAGTTACAACAACACAGCCTCGTACAATGGTAATAACAAGGAAAAAACAAACAAACTGGGAGTTCATTCATCTAACCATAGATTAAAGCCACTTTTGATAAGGCAAGATTTTGTTCATTAATTGCTCCAGATTCTTCCATTTCCATGTAAAGATCATTTCCTTCACGAGTCCATTCACCTATTGGATTCTAGAATTATTCCTCAAAGGATAGACAAGGGTTGTCTTATAGCCATTAGATTCCATATACCAAATTCTACCCCCCTCCCCCCAAACACACACACGCACACAAACAAATGACCATGTTATTTTGCAGTGTCCCAAACTAACAATTGTTCACAATGAGTAAACAATTAATGATCGTCCAGCTTCCTAAAGCTACTTACCAATAACAAAGGGTTAAGGATAAAACTTTGCATCAATCCCACAACATTTAAGGCAAAGAATTTAACTTGGTTTCTTAACCTTAGAGCTTCCTCATGGAAGAGAATTAATGTGTAATGTTGTAGAAATTGAGCCTATTGAGATCAGAAGGCTGGGAATACTAACCTGAGCGGCATAACCAAAGGAAATGAAGTTCAGACAATTTCCAATAATGAAAATTAGAATACCTGCAAATGAAGAATTACATTTTAACATTAGTTCACTCTACAAATAGCATAAATAAACACCCATTTATAGAATTTAGTACCAATTCTCCATGTTTGAAAGTATATGATAGGTTTCAATGGAGCTTTTCCAGCCATTCCTTCCCCATCCATTGTGGAATATCTTTCTCTCTGTGAATTTAAGTAGACCCAATTAGACAAGAAAAATGGCATTAAAATTGAAAATCAAAGCTGTCACACTATAATAGGAATGGACAAGTTACTAAGTAATGAGGTGTGGAAAAGAAAGGACATTTATTTCCAAATTTGATGATGTTTCACCATATGCTAGGAAAAACAAGCAGAAACATATTCACTTCGGATGTAAAGACTGAAAAATCCACCAGATCAACGAGATTCAGATATAATCCAAAAATGAAGGTAAGAGTTTTGATAATGCTCAGACGGACCGGACCTATTAGTAACACCAAAAGTCTGAGTACATGTGTTTTCATGTATGTTTTTCTAGCGTTGTTGAACTCTAATGCAGCAACATAATCATGTCTAGAAGCACATGGATGATTTTATGACTTGTCAAGAACGCTTAATATTATCTAAAAAGTATTTGATCAACATGAGTTGCGAAAACTGAAAAGGAACAAAAATCTAGCAAATTCCATACCTCATTATGACCTAATTTAAGAAGGTTAGTCCCAAAGTTTATGGCAATGCTTCCAAAGAGGTTAATGAATGCTCCAATGACCCAATCTCCCATGATTTAGAAACTTGAATCCCCCTCAAGAAAAGCTGGAAAAAAAAACAACAGCCAGTAAAGATCTTCAGCAGAGCTACAGTTGATATTGACAATAAATGCGGCATCATTCGTTCAAGTCATACGAAAGGAAGAAATGAAAGGGAAAAAACCATACACTAGCATCTGCGTAGATAAAGAGAAACGAAGCGGAGGGTCAAGTCTATGAACACGAGATCTGATATGATCCGATCTAATCGAAGTTCGACCGGTTCCCGAATCTACAAGCGTATTCAATGCCGGCAGCCAATCTTCTTGTTGTTGATAAAACGTAACACCAACAAACTTTACCTGACGGAGAATGAGAACCAGACTTTACTTATGAGCAATTTGCGATTTACAGTTGTTTTTGGAGGCGCAGTGTATCTAAAATCGAAGAATCGAAAACTTTTTTTTCCTCGAAATAAAGAAAAAAAAATAGATTTGTGTTTATAATTTTGTCTGAAAATACACATGTGTCAATGTTTATGTGCGATTCATTCCAACAACAAAAATGAAAGGAATTATACCTACCACTAGTAAATTTTACTGTAAAGTACGTAAACATACATCAAATTATATTAAAATAAAATTTTAATCATAGAAATCTTAAAAATTATAAAATAATAATTAAATTGATCATATTATTATAAAATTTTAATACATTTTATTAAATTTTAAATCCTAAAAAGTTTTATAATTGTTTATTAAATTTAATTATTATTTATAATTATTTAAAAAATTTAATAATTGTTTTAAAAATTTAATAACCAAAAATTCATTTGGGTATAATTTAATGACCATTTGTGTGTTTTACCCAAAATTTGAAACATCTTTCTTCAGAAAAGAGAAAATTGTGTGCATGTGTTTAAAATAAAAATAATATTTATTCTTAATCATTTAAATTAAAAATATTAAATATTTATAATTTTGTGTAGTTTATATTAAATTAATTTCATTGATCAATTAATTTAGATCATGTCTAAACTCAATTTAATCCATTTACAATGTTAATAACTACTTGATTTTGCTTAAAGGATCTAACACTTCATCCCAATAAATCAACTAGTAATTAATATATTACTACGAGAAGAAAAAAGAAGGCAAAGAAAACATAATTGGCATAAAATGAGCCGTTATGAACCAAAACCCCAGAAAGAAAGACCGCGAAAAAATCGGCTGAAGAGGGTAAGAAACCATTTTTAATGATATTTTCATCATATATTTCTTAATACGAAAACAAATGAACTAAACTTTATGCAAACTCTCTCATGATGTGATATTACAGCAAGAGGAACATATGAGGTGTGACAGGCCAAAAGCAATACCACAAGTAGCTAAACGTGGGTAAAAAACTTTATACCAAGCTTGTGTGCACTGATGTAAATTACACACATTTCGGTTCACAGAAAACAACTCTGATAACACGTCGATTACTCTTTACCGGGAAGTACCGCTAGATTTCATTAGCTCGTTGAAACTAAAACACACACCAAACTGTTGGGAAATAAACAAGTAACAAGTAATTTTCCTATAACCAGATTAGTGAGAATGCGAAATAAAAGCGAAAAATAATACCTGAAATTGATAACGGAGTTATGCCAATTTTGCTTACGTCTCCGGACTGCTGCAGATCTTTTACTAAGAGAGAAAATTTACAGATGTTTACAAAACACTCACTTAGAAAGCTCTCTAGTAATGAGAGAGAGAAATGATTTTTGGGATTATTTTGAAGCTAAATGAGCTAGGGTATTTATAATTGAAGCTTAGGGACTAATCTTGTAAATACCCTAAAAATGCAATGATTAAAGTTGCAATATTCCCATTCCCATTTCAAAAATAGCTGCCCATTTATTGTTTTTCCAGCCGCCCCATGTTGAATGTCTAAGCCGCCGGCTGCTAGACATTTTCTTTGACTTTTCTCCAACAATCTCCCACTTGAAGACTGATTTTAATCTGTCTTCACACCTCAATCAATGTAGCAGTATTTCTGGTCTTATTACTCTAGCATGCCAACTGAAGCTGAACACAACTTCAGTTTGTCTGTAGTCACCGCCCTGTAAACCCACTTGTTATTGGGCAGTTTCTTCGTGATTGCCTTGTCCCTCAACGTCTTGACTCCATTCGACTCTTGTCTAATAGTCTTTGAAGGATTGTTCCTCACTTGAACATCCTCGGCAAGCCCTTGCTTCGACCCTTCTCTTATGATGGTCTCTGAAGTCATGTTCTTTACACGAACGTGCTCGGCAAACTCTTTGGACACGGACAACTCTTCTTGCACTTGGCTTCTACTCGCCTTGGCATAAATGAACATTATTGAGCCAACTCTCAACGCCCTCTCGATCCTGGGTTCATCCTCTTCTCTGGACAACTCGATCCTGGGATCATCCATCACCTTGGATGACTTGGCTCCCCTCGGGTAATCTTGCAACACTTATGGCATCTTAAGTCTGCGCCCTCTCGTTTGCTCGACTCTTACCCTCGGCTTAGCATCTTTGACACTCGAACTTGTGCCAAGACTGCACACATTTTCCCCAAACTCACCATCTGGTTCATCATTGAGTGGATTTTCTCTTCCACTCGAGTAACAACATTCCTCATCCTCTGACTTGCCTTCATTACGGAATCTCTTGCAGCTACCCTCGGCTTTCGGCTTTGCTTTGGAGGTCTTGTTCTTCTTGACTCCAAATTCTTTGATGGAATCGGCGGTTGTCAAAGCTTTAGACAGCTCATTGACTTTCTTTCGCTTCAACACTTTCTTCGCCCATGGCTTCAATCCGAACATGAAGGTGAAGAACCCATCTTCTTCAGTCAAACTTGGGACTTTGAGCATGAGTTTTCTAAATCAGCTCACATACTCCTTAAGTGTCCCTTTATGCCTGAGACACCTCAACTTGGACCACGCCTTCATCCTGGCATACTGTGAACGAACTTGTTCACTTTGCACCCTCGGCTTGACGGCTTTATCTCTTGTTATCGCACCGGGTCCCTTCTTGTGCTCGACTACTTTGACACCCGCAGTCTCGTCACGTTTTCTTCCGGGTTCGGCTGCTTCAACATCAACAGCTTTGTCTTGTCTTGATCCTTGCTTGGCCGCATTGATCCCTTCAATCGGACCAAGTCTTTTCCTGGCTTGGTAGCTTTAACACTTGCGACCGCGCCAATTCCCGCTACTTCTCCTTCTTCCATCCTCTTCATGATGGCTGTAAGACGACGCTTCTCTTGACATCCTCTAATCAAATGACAACCAGCACAGAAGTAGGACTTCAATTTTTCCTTACTCCCCTTCTTCTTTACACCGGACTTAGCCTTGTCATCCTTTCTCGATGGCTTTCCTTGGCTACGACCAGTCGATGGCTCACCTTGGCCATTCGAAGAGCTTTCTCTACCATCTCCCTACTGCACCTTTTCTCGATCTCCACCACTGTTGCCACTATCTCTGGGCATGAGCCTGGACGACACATCGCTACTTGGCTTGACACCTACAAGCTCAGTCAGCTTTCCGGCTACAGCTATGGCCTCCGAAAGTCTTTGGACATCACCTTGCTCTCTCCCGAGCATTGCCCCTGGTTTAAGTCCTTCCAAGAAGGTCTTGAGCGTACCATCCAACTTCTCAATTTTCACATTCCATTCGTATGTAGCCATCGCTCCCACTCGAATATGGCTTCGTTTGGATCGTTTCTGACAATTTCTGCGAACCACCGTGTATTAGAACACTTCCGTCGACAAACTCGTATCGTCGACCAAATTTCACTATTAACGAAATGCACTATTCACGTAAATAGTAGCCTCGCAGAAAAATTGACAAAATTCACAACCAAAAGCTTTAATACCAGTTGTGGGGAAATAAACAAGTAACAAGTAATTTCCCTATAACTAGATTAGTGAGAATGAGAAATAAAAGCGAAAAAATAATACCCGAAATTGATAACGGAGTTCAGCCAATTTTGCTTACGTCTCCGGACTGCTGCAGATCTTTTAATAAGAGAGAAAATTTACAGGTGTTTACAAAACACTCACTTAGAAAACTCTCTAGTAATGGGAGAAAGAAATGATTTTTGGGATTATTTTGAAACTAAATGAACTAGGGTATTTATAATTGAAGCTTAGGGACTAATCTTGTAAATACCCTAAAAATGCAATGACTAAAGTTGTAATATTCCCATTTCCATTTCAAAAATAGCTGCCCATTTATTGTTTTTCCAGCCGCCCCATGTTGAATGTCTAAGCCGTCGACTGCTAGACATTTTCTTTGACTTTTCTCCAACACAGACACGAAATACCTTTCGATGTGAAATAGCAATATCAACATATGGAAATGATTGTTCAAGAGAATTCATCATTTCTTCCAGTTCTGTTACAGAAGAACGAAATGTACATCAATAAAATGTTCATCTCACATATTAAACCTTGGGTTTCCTGTGGTTTATATTCGAGTTGACTCTCCACTTCAATTGGTTGACCATCCCTTGTTGTGTGCTACATGTGAGAGAAGTGTAACCCCCACAAAGTCTTAGGTCTCCTATGATTTTATATTCATGTTGGGTCCTTTTAGCTACTACCTATTGGTTCTAAGTTGAGAGCTAAATTATATAATTGAAAAGATATACAAGAAACACCCTTGGTTATTAATCATTAAGCCGTTTTGTTTTCCTTATTTTCTCAGTTTCCCCACTTTCATCTTCTTGGCATGCAAACGGGATTTCTAAATTCATCTAACTAATAAACCAGCTCCGTGATTGGAACTCGCAAGAAGGTACATATTTTTCCACTAATCCAAAGTCAACAGGTAGATGTAGATATGGTTATCAATATTAATCTTGACAAGAGCAACTAGAAAAACTATATAAACTTGCTGGCACACGGTTACAAAACAATCTAGATAACGACACGATGGCAAGAAAATTCATAAGCGTAGAAAATAGGAAATTTCGGTTCAAGGCATTACCTTTAACAAGATGCAAGGCGGAATATATGTATAATTGGCCACCATGGTCTGGCTCATACTCTGAACTTTCCTTAAAGAAACGCTGAAAGGCAGGTTCTGATAGGAGCTCCACCGGAGGTGCTGTTCACATTAAACGGAACAGAAGAAGAGAAGGATGGCATACACAAATAATCTTTATGACAAGTGACCTAAATTAAGAGTTTAAGTAAAGGTCCCTAAGCCATCAAAATGAATGCAGACAAGTCTAGTAGTCTATATATTGTTTTAACAGTACAGACAAAATTCCAATGTTCCAACACATTCCACCGAATCCACCAATTCATGTTAATTATATAGAAAACCCAAAGTAAGATTTACTAATACGATACACATCGCATGTAAATGGTTTAGCTTTTTCCAGCTAAAATCTATCATCCGAGGCTTAAACAGATCAATGACAAGGTTGATAATGCACCCTTTTCTCTGCCAGACAGGTATGCGAAAACGAGCCTAAAAGACATGAGATTATTCCATGGAATTGAATTACAGACTCTGAACAAATGGTAGCATAGACAACCTCATAAAAAACCAACTTTACAATACTCTTGGAAGCTCAAACAATAACAAGATGCAACTCAAAAAAAAAAAAATTAATCCTTTACATAAACAGAGAAAGATTTAATACTTTAAGTAGCAGCGTCTTTGCTCTTCATGCCTATTAAACATTGGACTAATTTGAATTTCCATTCGCCAATGAATGCAGAATTCAACAACAGAGAGATGAGTAATGAAGTGAAAATGTGTACCAGCAAGCTCATAAAGAGGAGAAAGATGGAAACAGCTTGTATACACAAAAAATGGCCACATATTACATAGTTCAAAACTTGGATATACCCAATAATCCTTGAAATGAATGCCACAACAACAAAAATCAAACTGACAAATCATTAAAAGAAATATAGAAAATGGATCAAGCTTGGGTGCCAGTCAAAGCCTTCATTTGAATATGATTATTATCAGCAGAATTGGCAGGCAATGCCTCGTACGATCCCAGTCTCTTCATCCCGACAGTCTTAGCAACAAGAGCATAAGTGACCATCACAATGATAACAACAAAAATAACATGAAACACGAACACCAGATCAAGAATAGCCACAGCCCTGAGCCGCGACTCATCGAGGTCGCACTTAGTTGATCCCTCGACCCCAGTCACAACATCAAGCAACTTGTGGCACCCTTCGGGTATAAACGCATCAACGTAAAGCGAAAGCCCGGTCTGCAACACCCAAAGCCCCTGCAAGCAAATCGTCGCCCCCAGACCCACCTCCGCCATAAAAAGCTTCGGCTGACAGGCTAGGATCAAAAACATCAAGGAAGCCAAAGCCGAGACGCGGGCGGAAACGGAATCGCATTTCGCCTGGAGATCAGACGTCTGAACAGACGCAACGGATTCGGAAACGGAGTAATGGAGAAAGAACAGAGCGGAGCCAAAGGCGAAGAAGAGATCAGGAGGGAACGGAAGAAGCGAGGTGGTTTCGGAGATGAGAAAAGAAAGGGAAACAAAAAAGAATAGGAACAAAACGGCGGCGGAGTTGAGCGTGAGGAAGCGGTAAACGGGGGAGCGGCCTTTGACGAGAGGGTCGGGGTCGGAGGAGGTAAATGATTGGTGGAGGAAAGCGATGAAAAGGAAAAGCATAAAGAGATACAGAGGGAGGTGTTTGAGGCGGAGGTTGGGGGAGAAAGGGAAAGGGTAAAAGGGCTTGGCGGAGTAGCTTTGTGGGGATTTAAGGAAGTTACGTGAAGTGCAGATGAGGTGGTATACACCAAGAGAGAGAAGCGCGGAGGAGGCTAAGAGCTGGTATATCATTCCCGCCATGGAAGAAGGAAAAAGCGACAAGGGAAGCTCGGTGATTATGAACAGCAGTGCGAGTGGGATTTTTTGCTGATTGTTTGTTTTTTCGCGGGTTGACCGAACTTCTGTTTAGGGTAAATTAAATATTTGTTCAAATTCCTACTACTTGGTTTCTATTTTAATAATTTATCTATTATTTTTTTAATTCTGGTCTAACATTATATTTTATTTTTATTTTGATCATTTATTGTTAAAAAATTTAACGATAATATTAATATAATATATTTTAATTATTTTTTAATATTAATATGACATTATTTCATAATAACATATTAACCTCAGTATAAATTTTTTAATAATACTTTTTTTATGCAAGAGTCCCTTCAACTACTACTAGTTGCTTGTTGGTCTAAGTCTTCATCAGGTGTATTAAAATCAACGTCCATGGTATATGTCCTTCCGCCTTGAATCCAACTGCCATTGGCATTCTTGCTCGGGACAACCACGACTTGTATTGGCTAGTCGTGCCCGGCCACTGTTTACTCCTGATGCCGAGGCTATTGAATCTCACACAATTTCTTTTGTTCTGTCTCACGCTTGAAGTCGTCTCTTTTGTTATAATTATTGAGTGTGATGGTGTTAATGTTGTTCGATAGTTAGAAGATCGCAATCGAGACCTACTCCATTTCTTTCTTGTCCAAGCTCGAGGGTTTATTGGACTCCAATCTACATATATGCATTTAACATGTTTGTCATTACGTTAATGGTTGTTATTTCTAGAGGTTTCAGGTTCGAACACTATATACCACAGAGTATTTGAGTGTTCATTATCAAATAATAAATTAATCAAAAATAATAATTTTTAATTTCGATTATTCAACGTATATTCAAATGTTATTTATAGATAATGGATATATATTTATTTATAAAATGGTGATATTATTTTTTGAGGTTATTATTATTTGAAATTTTAGGTTTAAGCACCATGTATGCTAAGGGTAAAAGCATTCAATATTAAATAGTTGAGGATCTTTGAATAAATATTAGTATATTACCTTATACTCACCCTTTATTAATAAAAAAATGGTAATATATATTATTAGGGATGGGTATGGGACTCGGATCCGACAGGTTCCGACCCGATCAGGTTGGAATTTTTTAAAATTTTGAGTTCGGGTTGAGTCGGTCGAATTTTTTAGAGGTTGTGTTCAGATCGAGTAGAATTCGGGTTTAGGGTGGAAATACCCTTACCGAGTATAAGTCGGATACGGTCAGGAAGGTAAAGTCGATTACAGTCGACGGTGCCAGAAGGAGAGGACGACCAAGGAAGAAGTGGGTAGATTGCTTAAGATCTGATTTGAAAGATTTAGCCCTTACCGAAGACATGACCTCTGATAGGAAAGTATGGAGACTTAAGACCAGGGTAGCCGAGTAGTGTGGGTCACAGTCATAGGGTGCAACATCTCTGTCATCTTTTTAATGTCTTTGTAGTAATTTTCATGACTTCTACTTTTTATATGCTTCTGTCATTAGAATTTATGACGGCTTAGAACTAGGGTAGCGGAATAATATTGCCTAAGTTTAGGTTTTTAACCCATTTGACTTTATTCTTTCTTGTCGCTTGTTATCGTTGACTTCTGATTATCCTTCTCTTCATATTTTCTCTTTTTAAATTTAGTCGGGACTTACGTTTCTGTCTGTATACAGAGATTTTTACGCATGAATTTATTTGCAGGAATTACTTTCCAGTACAGACGCGCATATGAAGACTGTTCTAATATGTATTTATTTATTTACATATGTGTTGAGTTAATCGATTGACGGAATCGGCCAAGAGGGGGGTGAATTGGCAATTAAAATTTTTGTGGAAGCTTTTGCAGAAAATTGAAAGTAATTGCACAGCGATTTACAGTGGTTTGACTTTCTCAAATAAAGTCTACGTCCACTACCTTAGCTATCCACACTAAGGATTTTCCAACAAATTCACTAATTTGTTCTTTCTTTTGAGGCCAAAGAGATAACCTTACAATTCCCTCAAGAGTATACCCCAACTCTTGAGAACACTCTTTTTCCCAAAGAGAAGATTACAAATTTGCAAACTTACAAGAAAACCTCACAAGGTAAGATGTTTGCACAATTCTAGAACAAAGAAAAGAACACTCAAAGATGAATACAATTGAGCACAAAAAGTGTTCTTGAAAGCAAAATGAATATTGAATGAAAATAGGCTTGAAATGCTCAAACTTGAGGTTTGATGCTTTCTCTTTGATTCTCTCTTGATTCTAGTTGCTTGATGTTTCTTGTTATTGATCAATGGCTTCTAAGCTTGCTTAAATACACCTTGGATCACTTCTGAACGTTGGGGATGATTAGAGAAGATATTATAGCCGTTTTAGTGTGAAAACATTTAATAAAACAGCTTGGAGCGTGGGGGGAATCGGTTCCCCCTTGAAGGGAATCGGTTCCTAAGTGTAAAATTCAAATATTTCGACCGTTGTACAAGGGGGGAATCGGTACCCCCTTGGGGGGGATCGGTTCCCTCCGAGCATACTGGAATTCTCGGAGCAAAACTGTTTAGGGGGGAATCGGTTCCTCCTATGGGGGAATCGGTTCCCTCCGAGCATTCTGGAAATCTCGGGGCCAAAACCATTTAGGGGGAATCGGTTCCTCCTATGGGGGGGAATCGGTTCCCTCTGAGCAATCTGTAATTTTTGGCTTTGAATTGGTTCGAAATACTTTGTAAGATTATTTTGAAATTGTTTTATGATTAAAACTTAATTTTACACTTAAGTAAGGATTAAAAATGATTTTTGAAATATTTGGAGTAATGTTTTGATATTGGAATAGTTATATCAAATATACTTAGAAAATCATTTGGAAAATCTTAAAATCCATTTAACTTAATTTGTTATGTCGAAATATCAAAATGTTTCAACAATCTCCCCCTTTTTGATATAACAAAACATTTTTAGTAATTTTAAGATTTTTGAAATCAAGTTTTGAAATTACTCCCCCTTACTTTAACACTTCTTCAATTTATTATGTAAATCATTTAACACCTATTCTTCTCCCCCTTTTTGTTAAATCAAAAAGACATTGTAAAACAAGGTTTTGAAATCATTTAGCCAATTGATTTATTAATTATAAGCTTAAGCTGCTAAGATCACAATCAAAAGAGAGATTAGCCATTAGTTTCATAAATCAATATTCATAAATAATGTGATATGGCAAAATTGGTCATATTGCTAATGATGATGCAAAAATGAATAAAACATATAAGTTCACACTATTCATAAATCCAAAATCCAACAATCCACAAAATCAAACAATCCAAAATATCAAAAGTGTTGAAACAATATTCTTTTAGTTCAAACTCGGGATCTTCGTCAGCTTCGGGTGGAGCTTGTGAAGAACTAGCTCCCGGAGTAGAAGATCGAACCCATGCACCGGTTTCCTTATTTTTGACCCATCCCGCTCTTGTTAAAGAAAGAAGATTGATTTGTTTCTTAAGAGGAAATGAGGCATCTAGACCAACTCGGAGTTTAGCTTTAGAAAAGAGATTACTAAGGATACAACCGTAAACTAGTGAAGAACATAGTTTCTTATTTGGCACTAGGTTAACAGTTTCAACAATTTCAGCAAAGATAATCTCGGAGAGGTTTATTTTTATATTGTTTTCAAAACAGTGCAACCACCAAAGATCTAAATCTCTAAGAGTTGAATATCGATCCCCGGATGGTCGAAACCACCAAGTGATCATGAGATGAAGGAAACGCTCATGGAGATCTAAAACACTTGCACTATCATTCCGTTTATATCGTGAGCCTAAAACTTGTTTTTCGTTTGATAAACCTTCATTGTCCAAGCCTAAGGCATTGGCTATGTAATCCGGATCAAGATGAAAATATTGACCTAGGAGGTAGGAACGCACTCCTATGGTTTTGGTTTTGTCACGATTTTTGATACAAACGGCATTACAGTAGAAGATACGAACAAGTTGATGATAGACAATGGGTTCAAGTTCGAAAAGTTTATCAAATTTCCATTCGTGCAAGATAGGGAGATATTTAAAGTTAATATCAACCATAGTTTGAAGAGATGGGATACGTTCTTCCCTAATCTTATATGAGTCAAAATATTGGTAAAACCAATAACGATAATCTTTAGGACCCGGTTGATTGAAACAAGAATTTTGGATAGTCAAGTTAGGATCAAGATTTGGAATAGGATTTTGAGGAATAGGAGGAGGATTTGGTTGACGACTAGAACGACTAGATGAAGACCTAGGACGTTTAGGATTTGACATGGTTTAGGAAATCGGAATAGAATTGATAACCTGCAATTTTAAAAACAAATGTATGCAATTCAATTAATCCCAAAACTCAAATGAGTCCTCAATATTTCAAGATTCTCTAAATCAATCCTAATGGGCAAAGTTTTTGAAAAACTTTTGAAAAATATGGTTTTGAGAAACAATATATGTATAGTTTCTCATAACAACAACATAATTTAATCAAAACACAATAATTTGAAAATAACATTTTTTTTTATTTCGAAAATTTAAAAAATTTTGAAAAATTCTTGTGTTTTGATAAAATTAGTTGTAACATCTAGTTTCTAATCCCTAAATAATCAATGCCCGATCACTATTTCAACCTAGAACTAATTAAAACTAATCCTATGTTCAAAATCAATGAAATAGAGAGTTTAGAAAAATTTACCTTGAAAGATGAAGATTGAGGGGATTTAGATGTTGTTTGCACGATTTTAATGATGATTGCAAGTTTAGGAGATGATATTTGAAGTGATTTCCGATTGAAATCAATGATTTGAGGCAAGAATGAAGATTTGAGTGCTTATAGGGTGATAAACGGCGGAAGAAGAAAAATGAGGATTTTGGGGTTTTTGGGGTGTTCTGCCTGATTTAACAGAACCCCAGGGGGGTATCGATTCCCCTGTGGGGGGGAATCGGTTCCCCTTCAAAGGGGGAATCGGTTCCCTCAGGGGGGGGGGATCGGTTCCCCTTCAAAGGGGGAATCGGTTCCCTCAGGGGGGGATCGATTCCCTCTGCACCAAAATGCTAAA